TAAAATACAGAGGTTTCCTATATCAGTTCTAAAGTATCCTACAGGTGAGAGGTGCTGTAAGACAGGAAAAAGTAAAGGCGGGTAGGAGGACCAAGAGTGACGACAATGTGTATGGAGCAGGTGGGTTGAAATTGTAAAGGGTTTTAGCTATCTCAGGTAGGCCTCTCTGAGAATGTCTCCTTTGAACAAAGACTTGAAGGAGGTGAGGGGTGCCATATGCAGAGTGAACCATATGGAAATCTGGAGGGAAGACATTCCAGGTAAATTACACATTGATTATATATTAGGAGTGAAGGGGAATTATGTCTGCAACTTACTCTAACAGTTCAGAAAAAATAAATTATATATAGAGCGACAGTATGTACGTGTATATAGAGATGTAAATATACATGTGCGAGGTGTACCGGTTACTAATGCGGATTTTTTTCAATAGATGGAGTTACACATATGTTGATATATATGCGATTTGATACCACTTGTCCCGATCGATGGCACACGCACTTTCTGAGCAGCACTTCCAAATGTATGAAGAAGTGGAAAATTGGGTCTCTGAATGGTTTGCCTCAAAACAAGAAAAGTTCTATTGGGACGGTATCCACAAATTACCTGAAAGATGGGGGGATGTGTAGCTAGCGATGGACGTTACTTTCAATAAAGCACTTTTGATGTTTCTCTTGAAATTATAGTGTTTTCTTTGGATTACAAAATCCACATTATTAACCGATTAACAGTTAATCCACATTATTAACTGGTTAATAATTAATCCGCACTAATAACCGGTTAATTGTTCCGCCCGGAGATGAGGTGAGGAGCGGGCTGCACGGCGGCGGTCTGGACTGGGGACGCGGCGGGCGGGGGTCGGAGCAATGGCCGCCCCGGGACTCCCGACCCGAGGTCCGCCCTTCAGCCTTTGCCGCGCGCCGGGGAGGCGCGGCCACTGCGGCCCCTCGCCTCGTCCTTCCCATCCTCCCCGGGCGTCCGAGGGGCCGCATTGCGGGGAAAGGAGTGGAGGCTGCCGAACAGGTGTGGAAATAAATAGATACATCAAACCCTATAGACACGATAGAGATCACACCCGCCCACAGGAACGGGGATAGAGGTATATC